GTCTGAGTCCTGGTTTAATCTTCGTCCGACTAATAGCATCCGCTTTCTTTGTCTACTACCTTACTAAGTTTGGAGATGCCAACCTTTTCTTACCTATTTTACCTTATATAAACCGCTCGGAATCATGTTTAGTTTGTTGGTTTTTTGCATCCATTGCTTCCGAGGCCAGTTGTTTTGTCGTTATTACACTCCAGGTCTTGTATAAATAGTAGTGTTTGTTCTTTACAGCACCGTTTTCTATGGCCTGGTGAGCATAGTTACTGAGGCGTAAATAATGCCAGCACCATATATTAGTTGATTATTGTAGTTTCTGCATGTTTGCAACTGATTACGATACTTACTTATGATTTTAGGTGATGACTTGTGCATGCTTTGTAGCTGGCCACCCGTGACTCGCTAGTAATAGTGGATGAGTTGGGCAGGGGCACTTCGACCTACGATGGATTTGGACTGGCCTGGGCCATCTCGGAATATCTTGCGTGTCACGTGGGGTGCTTCTGTCTCTTCGCTACTCACTTTCATGAACTCACCTCTCTGGCCCATCTTTTGCCTGGCCTTGTGGCCAACTATAGGGTGTCTGCCGAAATTCTCCAACATTCTCCCTCTAAGATCTCTGATTCCGATGTCGTTATGCTTTACAAGGTTGAACCTGGTCAGTCTAATTGAATTTCCTCTTCTCACCTTTTTTACGGTATCTTTTATAATATTTTCGTTACTTTCGGCTTGTAAGGTGGAATTGCACCACATTTTCATCTTGTAATACTGAAAAACGGCCATCACTTTGGTTACCCAATTCCTTCGATTCATAGACCAATGGCAAGATGCACATTCCATGCACAACTTCATTGCATAGGTGGCCAAATATCGGTGGTAGAATAAATTTGACCAGTTTTTTAGCTAAACTTGCCAAGATAACTCATTTAATTTGTTGAAGCGGGAAGGAGGGCAGTGGGTTGCCACTCATCTCCAGTGCCTTCCCCTTACATCGTAGTTTTTTGTCGTTTTCTACTTGATGACTGCGCCTAGATGGGAATATGCCAGGGCGGCAGACGCATGGATTTGTAGGACAGTTTTTCCTTGTACTTCAGAAACGAAACGCTTTTTATCAAAGTTGTGTTACAATAGGTTTCTTTGAAGGCTGCATTTTATAATTGTCTTTTGTCTGATACTGCACTATCTTTTGGCTGTGAATATTCACTATAGTAATCTGTATTTCCTCTTGTTTGCTTCCTAGTTTAGTTTAATTCTTTTCTATGGTTTTTAGGCGTTTGTGACCAGAGTTACGGTCTACAGGTGGCTCGGTCGATTGGTCTGCCGCCGGACCTTGTAGCGGAGGCAGAGGTCGCCTCGACACGAGAGGAGAAAATGGAATCGCTTTGGGTTCGTCTTGGTGAATCCATGACCACCAACTCTTCATCTCCATCGAAGGAACAAAATAAAGTACTTTCGTATTCCTTGCCTGTCTATCGATGGACTCTTGTTTTGGCTCAGCTTCTCCAACATCCACACTAAATTGGTGCTTCTTGAATAGAGAACAACAATATGATTTATTCCAGACTTTATTTATAAGATGTATGAATTATTAGCTAGCTTTTTTCTTCGCATACAGAAAGGCTAAAGAGCTAGCTGTTTAAATATCACTAATTAAGGTCACATTAGTCTTCACTCGCCTTATTTCATCAACACTGCTGTTTGGCAGATCCCCTCGGCTGTAGCCTTTGCATTTGTAGTGCAAAGAATCACTACTATCTTTTATCCAGCGGTCAAAATATCCCCTTTATTCATATATATATATTTATATATACCTTGATTAAACACGGCGTTGTGAGGATGAAAAGACGCGAGTTTTCGATGTTCAGGGTGTGGTGTGAGTAATAGGTAGTTCGGATAAGATTTGTAATGTAAGGTTTTTTAACAAGCGTTAGGATAGAGGCGAGAGTCATTGCTACCCTGTGTCGTTGGATGTAGTAGTGAATGAAATTCTTCTTTTGATCTTGCTGTTGCTTGTCATTAAATATGGATCGAAATTATTTGAAATTGGTATATACGACAAATTTGCTTGCCATTCTTACCAATCATCCCCTAACTCATTCTGCGAAGTATTGTAACTCCTTTGAGTTTTGCTCTTATTGTAGTCCTATTTACTCTCTTCTGCGCTGCATAGCCATACATCAGAATTGCTTCCAAGTTTTCGCACATCAGGGAAATGTCTGATCCTTAGTTTTCACTATCAACGGTTTGACCAAAAAGAGCAGTTTGGTTTCAGCCTGTTATGGATCAGATGCTTAATGTTCCGCGATGGCTCGTTGCTTTGAGGTTGTCTGATCGGTGTGTCTGGATTAGAGCTCCATTCTGATTCGTGGAGGACTGAGAAATGAG